TAATACCGCAGTTCAAAATATATGAACTTCATATATTCATTGTATCTGATTTATCATCACGGGTTTATTACGAATCAACTTAACGGCCTGCTCCCAGTTGGCTTGTTAGCTCAATTGGTAGAGCGCTGCACTAGTATTGCAGAGGTCAGTGGTTCGAATCCCGTACAGGCCTGATTTTTTTCAGGTCTGATTTTCGCTATTGCATAAATAGCGTTCTCTACTGCGAGGATCGTGCATCATAAGTATTTTAAATAGGGTCGCGCACGAAACATTTCCCATTTCGTGCCTAAATTATGATGATCTCCGCCTCCTTCCCGCTGTCTAAAACTGACGTAAGGTCCAATACTTGATTGTTGTGCAAAAAAAAAAGGTTTCAATGATTACAATGATTAAAATATTCTTTTATAACGGCCACAAAAGGAAACGAGCAAGATCATCGGAGTGGAAAGCTAGCGTATTATTGACATATTATCTTTTTGAGTTTACGGAAAAAAAGAATGCATATCAAGAGTGTGTTAAGTACTTCTATTCAAAGCCTACAATCGATTATTCTATCGACTTTCTAAACAACAACACAAATCGGCGTTAAATTCGTTGAATTTTTTTAAGTTTTTCAGTGTAAAACACTACAGGGTTTGGAATGCGAAGGAGATTCTCGAAGCTCTTCGGCTTGTTTTTAAGATCGAATCGGTAGCCTTAATTTTCGTCAACGATCGTCTACGCAGAACTGCTTGCTGACAGTTTTCCATGAATATTGGGCTCCACTTTAGCTTCACAGATCCTTTGGAAGCAAAACGATCATTACATTTGAAGTTTTCTTATTAGCTTCATGCATTTTCGTTGAGAGATCGAGAAAAGAAAACCCATTATTATACAACTCAACGGTTTTGCAATTTTTGTAAATGAATCCTTGGCATTCAATCAGAAATTAAATGGATTCCTGAGGTAAAATCGATCAGTGTTGGGCAGCTGATAATTACTTATAAAATTTACATCAACATAACAATCAGTTACATAAACAAAGGATTTAATCGAGCCAATATTCTAGATTTAGCTCAGCTTTAAAACATCTGCCCCCGCACAGGTTTCCATCAGATACCATGATCTGTTTTTCTCTCAAATAACTCAACTCAGGAAATCACGTGCACAGAACTGCGACAAGGCAATTTATTAGTCATAGATATTGATACAATTTTCAGATTGAAATTTCAGATCTTTTCAGCCACAACACAGGATTGTTAGTAATACAAAAACTTATAGCTAGTGGGTTGGAATATGTTCAGGTTTCCAGTGCCATTGTCTGTGTATAGCACGCCTTTCTTGTCGTGCAGGGAACGAATTCTCTGGAACTGACTGCATCAGATCGGCTGGCGGTCACGACAAGGATGTGGAACAATAATGCCCGTAAAAGCACTCTCCAAAGTCAGACTGATGCATTGTTAATGTTCTTGGTGGTTTACCTTATTGTTACCACTTGAGCGACATAAAAGTTGTTGATACTTGTAGAGTTAATGCGACAAATGGATTGTTAGTAATTCATATCGAGGCTGCCCTGACTCTTTCATCAGCACTAGTAGAAACAGTTTGGCTGTGTTGAACGTGCGCACGCAAATCCGGCTGTGAGAATAAATACGTGCGACTTATTTAGCATTCTTCTGTTTCCATATTTGCAAAGCACTTGAATTAACAGAATCACAAAACGTTCGTAAAAAATGAAAACGGAACTACGCACAGAATGCAGCAAGAGTGATGTACATCTCCCGCTGTGGTTTGATTATTTTTAGACAACCTTTAACTCTATCTGGTTCGGCATTTCAACTGATAGTTTATGATCGTATAACATCCTACACGAACAAATTCAGCGGCTTAATTTCTTTTACGCAAGATTAGGTCAGTTTTGTATAAGTATTCTTCGTGAGTGCTCGGTTGCAAACCATTCTCTGCTTATAAAACGTATGGCCATACTGATCACAGATTTAGCTTCGCCTAATAATGTTTGAATCATCCTACAAGACGCCTTTTAACAGAGGTAGCAAAGGTATTCTTGAAAGAATCACGCTCTTTGACCAAAGCCATAGACATTATATGAATAAAAGCAATTAAAGTTAATTAGCACCTACTAAGGAGAACAAGAAAGCCGAGGCTTCATCGAAAAATGATTACTTGAAGAACTTAATCCTTTAAGTCTAAGGTTAGCAAAACTATTGCGTAAAAGAAATAAACATCGGAAGTGTTTCAAAAATCAAGGAATTTATTGAATGGTGACTGAAAACTGATGCTTGTTGTTTTTAGACGACAGAAAATGACGGTCATGACAGCTGTATGATTCTTTATCGGCTTTACAAATGGGCGCCGAACGTGGCTCTATTTAGAGTAATAGATACTTACCAAATGCACTGAGTTGGTAGAGTTCCTTCGTCTCGATTCATCTTCCAGCAAAGCCTCTAAGCGCTCTGGATCAAACATTGGCTCGGAAATCACTGGGAGAGCACTCCTTCGACGCGCCATTCTGTTCAGAATTGTCATGAATGCCTACAAGAATTCTGTCGCAAATTGCGCCCCATCCACAATCTTCCGGGTCTTTAGCTATAGTGCCAAGCGCTCTGGCCTGTAGTTAATTTGTTCCTTATGGCGTTAAAATCCAATATGAATTTAGTCCAAATATTCTTAGCAGCTCATCATGCACGACTCTTTGACCTTGTGTTTACAATCTTCGGCTCACCAGCGAATGATTGAATCTGTCAGTGAGGTTCAGCTGTGACCAGGTGACGGTTGAATGGCCTCGCTCATGGGGTGGTACTCACGAATAACGGACTTAAAATTGCGTCATAACTCGATATCACCTGCCCCCTTTACAATCTGCTCACGCCTGCTATTTTTCCTAAATGCGTTTTACGAAATACGTGTTCAATCGATTAAACGCTCAATGGCCGGTCACGCCTGGGGGATTTTACGGTTGATCGTTTTATAATTGAAAGGCTCGTTGTAATAAAGAAAGGGTTTTGTTCTCTTTATACCCACTGTAAACTGAACAAAATGAAAATCTTTCATCAGATCCCGCCCTTTCTAAGAAAGGATCTAAATAGTGAAGTCAAATTAAATTCAGATTGTGAGAGAATGGAGTGATGTTCCATTTATAGAACACTTGACCAAATTTTACTTAGTTTGAGAAGTTTTTCAATATTGCCATGAGTTTGGAAATAATAGAAAATCTTGTATAGATTCGCAGATTCATGAGATATTGCAATGAAATACGTTATGTTTGTTTAACAAGGTAAAATTGTCATGTAAATGTGAAAAAATGTGGCTTGGGTTTTTAGTCTAATCCAGCGTCTGGTTTTTTCTAAACATGTAAAATCCCGCCGTCAGATTCTGGGTCCAGCGGCCATTTTCAAACCTTGAATTTATTGACGCTAGAGTAACCTCGAGATTGTTTCAGTCATAGTTTATGCAAAAGTAGAAACCATTGAGTCATCAACAAAGAAGCAGATTTTGAGTTTTTCGGCGTTCACATCGTGTCTCATACCAAGGACGAAACAACATGGAAGGACTTTTAAGTCATTGTCAATTAATCCGGCAACAAGGACGCAATGGTAGTAATTAAAGTTGGAGTTTCTTCATAGCACGCATTTAGGTGATTTTGATAAAGTTTAGGGTCTATACAACTCAAAAGGTCTATACAACTCAAAACCCCGAGAAGGGTTTTTCAAATTAAGGTTTCAAAACACTGTGATAGAGTAGTTTAAAGTTACGTTTAATCCGAGGAAGACATCAAGTACTGTGAGTCAGGTAGTTGATTATCTTATGTAGGCTGTAATATCACCATAGTCTCCAAAAAACATCGAACTTCAACTTACTAAATACTGTGAAGGTGTAGTCTGATCGTCCGACTGAGTGTAGTCCTGAGAAGGACTGTTGTCGGTGGTAGTGACTGGCGTTTCGACAACCTGTGCGGAGGTCATCATCAGAGTCAAGTGAATGATTGTTGTCAGTTCAAACCATTTACTGCATTACTAAATACTGGGAGTAAATACATTTTAAAACTTAGGAAATAGATAAATACGGTTTAAAATCAGCGAATGACAAAGCAAATGAATAAATAAATAAATAAATAAATGAATAGATCAATAAATGTACGAGTTGTGTTCTGAAATAAATAAAAAATCCATTTAACAATTTTATTTTTTAACAGAACACAAGAAACTGCTCTGCCGATCAAACGATTACCGTTTGATAACTGCCGACGGTTCATATGATTTCTGCATTAGTTAGAATTCTGAGCACCCCAATTACGGGCTTCAGACTTTTAATATTCCGCTCCCGATGCGACGGTCGCTCGCTTCCGATCAGTAGTTTCCCGTCCTCAGACTTCGATCGGTTTTCGACGATTTCCGTATCTTTATGAAATTCATCTTCAATGCGTTTTGTATTGTAGATATACAAAATTGACCACCTCGACGGCGAGGAACATGGCCAGTGCACCGTGTTTCCGTATAAAATAATTATAACTCTTCACTCTTCAAGCAATCGATAAATCATTTACAAAAGGAGAGCGGAACTGACGCTACAATTTTGTGGCTTGAAAACCTCGTTGATTCCATCTCACTAGTACTAAATAGATAGTTAAGATCAATTCCGTCTCTCTCCGGCTCTCTCTCTCTCCCCCTGTCCCTCTGTCTGTCTCTCTCTCTCTCTCCTCTTTTTTTATGTGGTTATGTTTTGCTTAGGTTCAGTTGTTTGCGTCTCTTATCAGGGATTTCACCGATAGCGTTGTCTAGGGTTTGTCATAAATCCTCAATCCTATTTTTGAAAATTTCGGTTTTTTCAAAACTCGTTAGTTTCGGTCACGATGTTTGCTTTCGCTAACCTTTCCTTCATTTACGATAGTTTTTCATATACATTACCATATTTCCATATCTTTCAAAAACAAATTTTCATGCCATCGAAAACTACAGGAACAGGATTTTCCACCAACAAACATTAATTTTATACTCACATTAATAAGCTTCCGAGCGGAAACACACTTGGCATATGGAAATGTTTTGATTTAGGGTAAAAAAATTAAATTAATTGCTTTAAATTCCACCCCCAAAAGTCGCGATTAAATAAAGTATTCAAAATCTTGCGCTCTCCTATTGAATAAATATGAAAATCTCCCCTACTGCGAAAATTAAAGAGAATGCTTTCCATCGGTAGCTAATTTAGTTATGGCTTATTACATTCCGGTTTTCTTTATCCTTACGTAATTCAGGTGTTTCTTCTTCTTTTCTTTGACAGTCAAAAATGTTGATCTCATATTAGTTTTTTCTTACATGTATCAATCGTCATGGTTTTGGCATTAGACAAAGTTTTGCCGAAACAGCTCTATCGTACTTTCGAGTGTGCTGAGAGCCTTCGAAATTGACGGACTTCTCGAATCCCTTCCGACTGAATTTCGCTTGCGTGCGAACGTCGAGCGCTGCACCCAGCCTTTTGATCTCGAAAATTTACTGTTACATTAAGTTGCCAAACTCAGACGAGATTTGAATGTTTTAGGAGCTCGATTTAAAATGCGAAGAAAATTTTCTTTTTAAGTTGAAGGAAAATTTTTAAAAAATGCACGATAGATCAAAACGCAGTTGAAAGAAAAAATTTAATCGCCCGAGGGGAAAAGTGTAAAAAATCCCTGGGAAAACAGAAATCTGAGAAACGTCCTAAATTCTTGGGAATTAAGACATATGGAAGGTAGGTGTTTTATGATATCTCAAAATTAAGAAATAGTCCGATATGGTCTTTGAATGCACGAAGAACAATATCGTAAGAATTATAATAGGGTTTCACAGACGGATACAACCTGGGTCCAATTTGGTTTAATTAGGGCCTTGAGTTGCGCTTGACTTATTCGACTCTTTCACAGATGTCTTTTCACGACATGTATTTAAAAGCTTCTAGAGGTAATAATAGATACTTTTAAAGAAATAAAGAACAAAGGTATTTTATCTAAACAATGTATTAAAAGACTAAAACCTATTAAATGGACAGATGCCTAACAGGCTCGCGTTCCCACACTCAAATGCAAAAATAAAAACAACTCAGCCTTCGGTGAAGTTGTCATTTCCTTTTCATCTTTCGCACGATCTCAAGTAGGAATTGTTTTCTATGTGCGTAAAAGTAACTTTTTTCCGCTTTTTTTCTTCGTAGAGTAATTTTGAATCACTCATTTGCCTGTACGAGATTTAAAAATCCCCACATTTTGAGAGACTTTGAGTTTCGAATCTGTGAAAAGAAAAGAAAGGTCAGCGCGGTAATGCCAAAAATATTATCAGCGAGCAACGAAACTCGCGTATGGACCACAAGCTTCTTCGCAGAAAACACTTTACTTGGTCCTTTGCAAGGAGAAGCAACTCAGTCGAATGAGGGGGTTCAGTTTTTGCGTACTCCTTCGGCACAATTCAAGGTAAGCATACTGTTATCAATATTTGTCGTGGCATTTCGGTGCAGTTTTATAGTATTTTAACAGTATAATACAGACTAAAAGGTATCTGAGCGGCTCTCTCGCTTTTCAGTGGATTGAGGGTGGTTATTTCAATAGGTTTGATTCTCTTTTTTTTCATTTCAATCGGGTAAAGGTCGACACGAGGAAAACATATAAAAAAAAAAATTCCCTTGATACGAGTTAATCTGTGCGTTTTTATTCAGAGTTATTGGCATATTATGAAGTATTATTTCAATAGCAGAACAGAATAAAGGAAAGTCGTACGAGATGAAAATACAAATGCCGGGGTAATTTTCAATCCAAAGAAAAGTCGGTTTTTTTGAAAGGTTTTCATTTAGCGCAACACGATAGATCTTTATCTTACATTGGAACTAGCGAAAATATGCTAAAATAGTTAAATTAGTGTCAAAGCTGAGAGCGCAATGTAAAGCTTTTACAAATCACCATTTAAGTTAACGTTTGAGAAGACAAGGCAGAAAATCAAATTGCATGCATACATTGTTTTTTTTTTCTTCCGTGCATAAGTGTCCAATTTAGTCTTACTTCTGTGCAACTCGTGTTAACTTTCAGTTAAAATCAGGTTTCGACTTGAACTAGAAAATGAATTAAAGTTTGAAAAGAAAAATTGATCATGAAAGTAAAAGTAGAATTGCAGTTATCGAGATCACTCGAAAAGCTTCAAAAATAGAACAAACGCATCGAGGGTTTTCTGAAATGACTTAACAACGAATTTTAAAGAGCTTTTGGAAAGGATTTTAGCTCCCGAAAATACTGAAGCTATTTTGACCTCTGATGATCAGACCCCCAACTCAGTCAAACCCAAAATTCCCTGGTATTTTGAATTATCGACAGTTAACTTTTTCGTCATCAAACGTTGGTGTACCAGGGCTCGAATGGTTTTGCATTTCCGACAGACTTAGTTGCCATCATCAAATTGTTGTCTTACAATTCCAAACTGAATAAATGTCAATTCATAACCTTGACGTCGAATTTTTTTTTTACTCATTGACTCAAACTTTAGAGCCGCCATAAATTTAATTAATTTTAAACTTAAAATGTTAAACGTTACCACGGGTATCTATATATATTTATCTTTCTGTGGGCGAAGTCATTAATTTCAGCTCATTTCATGATGTTAGACCTATCTTTTCTGCTACCGTTGAAGAGGACACTGTACAGTTTAGTTGCATGGGGCAAATCATCATCAAAATGATTGACTGTTGGCAAAAGAACGGTGCGTTTGGAAACAAAAATCATAGATTTTAGAAACTTAGGAAGGGTAAGGCCCGTTAGGGAGAAACTCGGCTATTTTTCATGATAATATATCGCGTAACTATGTCCCACAAAAAATGTCTATGTTCAATTATATTCATTAATTTAAATGCTCTTAAATCGCATTTCTTTCAGTAAATCCTTCAAAAGTAATCTTTATAAAAAGGATAGTGAAAAAGTTTCATTCTCAACTTTTACTGAGAAGGGCAGCCCTATGGCCGGATAATTACCAGTTGAATTTCACGTTAATGAAGTTGAGGACTGTGAAGGTAGATTTCGATGGGATTCTCATCTCTCCATTGAATGGAAAAGCTACAAAAAAAAACCTTGCGTTTTTGAGAGATAGGTAATTTTAAATGATTTGCTTGCATGTGTGGAATAATCCTTAATGAATGCATTTGAAAATGACCAGCAATTAGCGAAGGGTAGGGGGTTAGATAAGGACTTGAATTAAAATTGACAATTTCAGCGAGTGAAAATAAAGTTAAAATCAAACTGCTTGTGCTTTTCGCAGAACTGAAATTTAAAAGCAGACGTCTCGGGGAAATGTTTGTTTTAAAAATATCTAACCAAGCTGCTTTCACTGAACATACGGAAATGAATTTTTACATGATAGTGGGCATACGAATAATTAAAAAAATTAAAATTTTCCGCCGAAACCATTTACCAACAAAAAACCATCCCGAGGCTTGATTTAACCCCTAGAGGGCTTGATGAGATCAGTAAGTCGCAAAACTTACCACTTAGGAAAAGGGTGCATTTTTTACCATCGCGTATTTTTTTACAAATTCAGTTTTTGTTGTAACTTATTTTCTCGGAGAACTTTTACAAAGCAAGCAGCACCGAAAGTAAATATTACTCGAGAAGTGTGCCTTCCTCACAAATATTTACAAGCACTTAAGGTGTGTTATCATTCACCATGTCAATGTTACAATTAGCCCATGTCCCCGATCAATGCTAAACTATTTAAGAACTGGTCATTATTCTCTGAAGCGCTGCATACTTTGGAGAAAAAGCGACTTTTTCATTGAAGACATAATCTTTTTAAATCACTCATGAACAAACGAAATTAATGCATAAGATCGAGATTTTTCATTAAGCAAAGTGCGGTTTTTAGATCAAATGTACGATGGTCGTGTGTGTGTTAATGAGCTTTGTGACAAATCCAAACAGCTTACATACTTCAATACAACTTCAGAACATATGGGCAGTTCTCATAGTCCGTTGTTAATAGCCTTGGCGGAGAAAATGTTTTTTGAAAACACTTTTTTGTATATTGTGCAGAATTTTAATCTGGAAATAACTGCCGATAAAAAAGACCCAACTGTATAAAGAATTTTTCTGATATTCTAAACAAGTTAATGGCTCTTTCTTGTTTTGGCGCTTGAAGCTAATACAGGTGTCAGACCAAAGGTTACTGGGCGACTCAGCGCTTTATCTTCACCTTAACGTAAAATATAAATGTGAAATGTGTGTTTTAAACCATAA